GTGCAGCCTCACAAGTAGTCTGGAAAATGCCTACTACAACCACAGTGACATGCTATTTCCCACCATCGGAGCAGTGAGAATTAAAAAGGTCAGACCACATCAAATGTTGGTGAGTAGTGGGGACTCACACTCTGGTATTAGGAGGACAAATTGGTCTGACCATCTTGGAGACTGTGGATTGAAAACAGTCCTCTTTAATCAGTGCTCTGCCCTTTGGACCCTCTGGGATAGCAGCATGAAACTCTCAGGCCTGGGCAGTGGGGACCTCTTCCCCAGCCTGGTTTGTTACAGAAGAGGTGGCACTAACCATCTAGAATGGAGAAAGTGGCCTCCATCTATGGGATCAAGGAGAAGATGGCCTCATCCCCCAGACCTGTGTCCCTGTTCTCAACAAGACTCTGTCTGGATTCTCCTCTTGCCATTGCTGTTTTCTCAGAGTCCTGCTGGAAGAGTGGAATCACCATAGCTTTACTGATGTCTTCCTTGGTTTCCCAGGGTCTGGAAAGTACGTGCAAGTCTGCAGCTACAGGCTGACTGGAAAACAACTTTACATGCATGTAAATACTGTCATCTTGCCCCATAACCAAGGTTCAACATATCAAATAACTGTGGGAAAGGAGGGAACCCCAATAAATGCTTACCAAGGAAAAAGTGTGTCCTTTTACATTCTTTTACAGCCCATGTAGTCTTAGGTCCCAACATGGCTTTGGTCCTGCTCACTCTAGTGACATTAATGAAATTTGAGAAAGATCGAAGAAAAGTGGGGTTTGAGGTTCAAGATCCTAAGTGGAATCAAGTGCATCTGATTATTCACTTCAGGAGGGGCGTGAGGAAAAAGGGCACTTACTGAGTGAACATCTAGGATCCAGTGGTGTGGTTTACTACACAGACAAGCTATGAGAAGTGCCTTTACTTCTTAAATAACACATTACGAGTATCAACGTGGCAAGAAAAAATATTAAGAAAACAAACATAACCCACCAATGTTCTTTTAAGGGTGGAATAAGGGTTAAGGCAGGTCTTTGCTAAAGAAAGCTGTCATAGCTATATCCTATTGCAAAAATAGACTTGAACTCAACGAACATTCCTTGAGGATAAAGATAGTCCTCCTGTGATAAAATGTTCAATTCACGTGGAAGGTATTATAAATTTAAGATGACGCATACTGGGTAGGGTCGCTTCAAAGTATTTAAGTCAATGTAAGTAGTGTAGTATTAACAGGACAATAATACTCCAGTCAAACTTTTTTCCGCATTAACTTTATTACTGAGCCCATTAGAAAACATACATGAGGAAATAAAACAGAGCATCGAAAAAGTTAAATCCAAGAGTTCCACAAGAGTACTTATTCCTAAGCTTTCTAGAAACTGAAGTCACTAGTTTACTAGTAACTAGCAACTAGTTACTAGCAGCTAGTTACTACGAACTGGTGACTAGAGCTCCTGGACGTCAAGGGACCTGGCTGCCCATCCCCTACGTCAAGTCCTTATCTAAAACCCTCAGTGAATCTGGAACAAAAAGTGGAAAAGCCCAGGTTTTCATAGTGAAAACTCACGTAGAGGGGATATTTAAAAATATGCAAGGGGCCAGCCCGGTGGAGCACTGCTACAGTGTGCCACTTGGGAGCGCGGTGGCGCTCCCGCCAAGGGTTCGGATCCCACATATAGACCGTCCGCTCACTGGCTGAGTGAGATGCGGGCACAACACCGAGGGTTGCGATCCCGTTGCCGGTCAAGACAAAAGACAAAAAGGAAAAAAATAATAAATAAATAAAATAAATCAATAAATAAAAATAAAAATATGCAACATGTGTAAAGTGTAAAATAATACTATTCAAAATTCTCCGATGCTGAAAAACAGCGCGCATTTTAGAACTCATGAATACATATTAGAGCACATGTATAAAAATTTTTTTTTTCTAAATGCTTTCAAATTTACTTTTCAATGAAAACTCCTTACAGAGGAAAAGGGAATCAATTATGTGGCCATGTTTTAACATCAAAAGATTCTGTGATAAAACATTCAATAACAGGACTTCCATACACTTGTGCACATATATATTACAGAAATCGATGCAATTATATGATATACAAACTCGAGCGTTATGTATAATAAAAACAATGAAGGACAGTTATACTAGTGTTGACAATGTAGTTCACAGTAAAGAATGCTGGGAAGCCAGCAGCGAGCCACCTGCCACCTGCCAGAAAACTACCCACTGCAGGGAGAGGAGCAAATGGGAACAAGGAGGTCAAGGGCTACAAATGAGCAATTAGGCCAAGGAATACGTCTGGAGACAGAAAGTACAGCAGGAGACCTATTGTCAATAATGTTGTGTTCTATTCAGAAACTTTACCAAGACAGCAGATTTTAGATTCTCTTACCAGAAAAGGGGGGAACTGTAGAAAGTGATGAAGATGGTCATTTGTTTGACTGTAGTAATCTCTTCACTATGTATATGCGTACGAGCCATCGTGTCATACACTTGAACTATACGGAAGAAAGAAATAAAAAAAGGNCCCTGCCAGTCAAACAATGAGAGAAATCTGCATAAACCACAAAAATCACAAATTTCCTTGAGCCTGTTGAAAGAGAGATAAGAGCCTCTGCAGAGAAACCCACACGGAGCCTCCAACTTTGACAGAGCAGCACTTCCTGAACAGGAACATGGTGGCAGGGCAGGATCCTCGGGAGGGCTTCCCTGAGTACTGCAGGTGGGACCTCCAGAGCGCCCTTTGAGAAGAATAGATAGGGGACGTAGGACAAACAAGCCTCAGGAATATTACTGACTGTTATTCTGCATAATATTCTTATGGAAAGATTTTGAAAATGTTGATTGCTTGCACAAGGAGATCGGGAAATATTACCGTGAAATCACCTGGAAGTAAATCCCTCTGAGTGGTGCCTCAGAATTGTCACACACTTCTGGAACACACTTTGATGGCCAGATTGTCTTTGCAGGGTCATGTTACTTTTCAGAAAAAGACCTGTGTGCCTGTTCCAAAACACTGCCGTTCACTAAGTGACTTAATTTCCGTCGTGCTAATTGATGATTTTTAAAGTGCCACTATTTCTTCACCATAACATGGAGATGTTTTTCCAAAGTNTTTTTATTTCTTTCATTTTCCTAGAAGTTTATCGGTAAATTTCAACAATAGATAATTTTTAAATCGACCTTTCTTTTAAATGGAATTTTGTCTTTCTTCACCTGCAGTCATAGAGCACACTTTGGTACATCAATCTTTGAATTTTATTACGATGTGCGTTGAAGCTCAGTATTTGGTCATTTGGTTTTGTCTTGCATGGGACCTTTTGAAACAAGTCGTGAGTGATGGTTTGATTATGATGTAGACTGGAAATGATGACCCTGCCAGTCAAACAATGAGAGAAATCTGCATAAACCACAAAAATCACAAATTTC